GGGCACCCCCGGGGTGGGCTCAACTAGGGACAAAAAATAAAAGATAAATAAAAAATAAAATAAATAAATAAATAAATAAAGTTGACATTTCCACCTACACAGATAAACACATGACATCAGGACGAGGGATATAAGGATAGTTTCTTATTCCCTTTTCTCTTAAATTCAGATACCGTACATTTCACAAAGAGGTTTACAGCAGAGAGTGTGATGATCAGATTTTAAGATTCTCTAGTTTTTCAAGTTTCGAGATCATACCAATAACTTAAATATAATTAATGGCTAATTAATTTATTAATTAATAAAATTTAATCTACTTTTCTATTTATAAATATAATCAAAACTTCCAAGTTTCAAGATACTCAGATGATTTAATAACATCTTTTCTGTAGCGGTTTGTGACGTGAAAATAAACTATCATAACCAATGAGTGTGGAAGACTGTAAGAAGAGTACGTTCAGGAATCCATAAAGCACGGGAAAGCTAGAATGGTGGTGGCAAACCTATCGCACACATGTTCATTGCTTTTCTTTTCTTTTCTTTTCTTTTCTTTTCTTTTCTTTTCTTTTCTTTTCTTGAGGAGTATATTATGGGGCTCCACAAACACATTCGCTTCTTCTTGACCGTAAATGTTTACGCTAGTGTAACAGTAGATGGCTGTGTTTCTCAATCCCTGTTCCAGAGAGACACAGGAAGCAACCTGTGTGTGTGGACAGGTGAGAAGTGTGCACCTGTGCAGAAGTGTCCAGCCAGAACTGTCACTGACTTTGTGCCCTGCCTGCCAGATTTGCTGTAGGCCTACTGGAGAATCACAGGGGTGTAATAGACCCACACCACTCTAGGATTTGTTTCGTAAAAAAATTGCCTTCATTTTTCTGGAAGTAGGTCAATTTAGTGCAATGGCACGTGGAAAACCAAGTTTTAAGTTTTGGAGGAGGTCAAAAGTGAATCATCAGGGCCGGGGAGATGGCTCAGTGGAATAAGTGCTTCCCTGGCAAGCACAAAGGCCTGAGTTTAATCCCCTGTTCCGCCAAAAAGAAAAAGAAAGAAAGAAAAGTGAATCATCAGATTTCTCATGCCTAAATGATGAAGGTTATCTACTACAGCCAAATACCTGTTTTCGTAACAGGAGAGTGGTGTCGCTGGACAGTGATGGTGGTGATGATAACTTTGACTTTGGTCACGTGAGCCTAGATTCCTGACAGTGAAACGGAGCAAGAATCAACTGATACAGATACAGGGAATTCAGACCTCCTTGATTTAGATGATGAAGAAATCAGCAATGTCAACACATGTCTGACTAGAAGAAATATTGCAAATGGTCACAAAATCAAATGGAATGATCCAGTGTTAGAACTGGGCCCAAAAAGATAGTGAGGGTCTTGGCATGGGTGGAACACATTGGGCAGAATGTCAGCATTTCCAGTTAGCGTTGGAAAGTGTAATAAAGGAAGCACTTCAAGATGCTGTGAACTAGACAAGTGCTGAGATACAAAGAACATGCCCTGCAAGCACCAGGAGTCATGTTTAAAACTGTACTTATTATGGCATTCACAGGCCTTCTGTGCTCAGCAGGGATTACTCATGGTAATCACAAGAATGTAAAAGACTGATGGAGAAGTGATGAGTCAAATATGGCACAAAAATGTATTCTCTAGCCAGCTGTGGTGGTGCACACCTGTAACCCCAGCACTTGGGAGGCTCATTCAGGAGGATAACAGTGAGTTCAAAGCCAGACTGAACTGCACAGGGAGACCCTGTCTCAAAAAAAAAAGGTATTACCTTGAAGACGCAAAGACTTATGCTTTCAATTTAGAAATTTATCATGAAACACAGCCATAAGATCCTTATTCATATAGAGATAAACCAGATAATATCGTGAGCAGACTTGTTGCTCCCATCTTCCAAATTAATTGCAGATGTGACACTGGACATTTAGTTTACCAGTTTCTGAATGATATTACATTGGCTAACAGTGCACAAGTTGACCAGGAAAGAACTGTATTCAGAAACAAGGCAGAAATT